CACCCCCCACAACTTGAATAATGAAGACAGATACAAACTGAGTGCATGTCCCCCTTTCTCCAACCTTTCTTGTTATCACATGGTCCCTTCTGATTGGATAGCCCCATACTCCACACCCCCACTCTTAATCCAAATGTGAGACCCATGTATCACTGTACTTCTTTCTTCTGCAACCACTCACCCTGAAGATGGCAACTGCAATGTTTGGACAAGCTTCGACATATGACACAGCTAAAAACCCAAAGGCACACATTAGATACAAGCCACAAGAATCAAAGCACAAGGATAGGTGAAGGTGTATGAGAACAGAGTACTGAGGAGAATATTTGTATGGTTCTGGCCTCATGTTTGTAGATGCACAGGACTTTTCATTCCAGTATTGGTACACTAAAGGGTGTTTGGATTAGCTGTTACAGCTATAGACATGTGAGGTTGCACTGCTGATGACACTGCCGAGTTGTGATACCAATGTACAGACAAACATCTGGACACCTATAAGATGTCACTTTGCAAAGTAAATTGCAGGGCAAAGTTACTCAGCCAAACACAAGAGCTTGTGACCAGTGTGTGTAAATATATAAAAAGTGAGGCTCATGCAGGAGTTCCCACAAACCTCAAGAAAACCCAAAAGAAAATAGCTGAGGTGACAGGTGTATGAGAGGTCTGACAGAAGAATAGTGAAAGAAATAAAAGCCATGGTGTCCATAGCATAACTTCATTTATGACTCATAAAGGGAGACTTATATCATGTCCTAAATCAGTGTTAAACACCTTGATGAACATGTTATTTGTGGGAATATTAATGACTTGTTTTCACTGACAAGCAATGAAGAAAGTCCACATAAAGTTGGTTGAGTCAAATTTACAGAAAGCTTGTCAGCTCTAAAGAAATGCGCTATTGAGATTTTAGATGAACAAGAAGAATCAATGAATCCTCATGGAACACCATAATGTGAGTACTTTGAGGATGTTGCATTTGAGGAGTATAGTGATAGGAGACCTATAGTGTTTAAGGATTAGATACATCATGGCTGTAACTCAGTGCCATTCAATTTGGAGTGATGGCTCCAACTGTGGCCTGCTGTTGCTGTCTCTAAAGGGCAACAGTTTATTACATGCTGACAGTGACCACGGTTTCATTCCTAATGCATGCACCTGTTTTAAATCCCATCAGATTCCAAGAGATTATCACAACATGGATTACAAAAATTTTGAGAAATGGCTAACAGGGTGATTCCAAATCTACCTCCACACAGTGTATTGGTAATAGATAATGTTTCAACTACAGTGTGCAGATCAGTCCAGCTCTAACACTAAATGCAAATAAAAGCACCACGATATTGTAGCATGTAGTACTGTTGGTATGAAACAATCGTGAGAAGGAACATGCATTGCTTGGTAGCAGCTAGTAAACACATTGATATCTGAGCTATCATTAGGCAACCACCCATAACAACAATAGCAAAACTGTTGGAGGCAGTGTTTACTGTTGGGTGCACCTGGAGACTATATAGCAAGGACCCCAGGCTGGATGAGTGAGTATAAAGTGTAGAAAGTGAGCACCAATTAAAAAAAAAAAGACCAACCCCTCCTTTTTATCATTAAGGAGGACCAACGAAGAGGGGAAAAAAGAACAAAGGTCTAGACACTAAAAAAAATATGGCTATGGATCCCAGCGGGGCCCAGTGCCAGGAGTGACTGTGCTGGCTGATTGCCGGCAGTAAGCTTCTGCTCTGCTGAGTGAGTTCAGTTGTGGGATACTCAGTGGACAGTACTGACATGAGCATGGAAGCAGAGGAATTGTCATTGTTAACATATTACCAGGAAACACCTAGTGGAAACATTGCAGAGGAATAGCCATTGTTGAGAGCTGTTACCAAGCAACGACTAGCAAAAGCAGACTGAGAAGACAGCGTGGAGTAATTTGTAGTGTGGAAATCAGCAACAGTGTTACAGTTACTTGCAGTTATGACCCGTAACTGGTCAATAAATCTATTCACCAATCCTTACCCCATGTATAACCACACATACACATGACAATATCTTTGTTGAGTGAAAAAATTCCACATAAGGCAAGTGTATGCCAGATTTGTGCAAATTATAAAAACGCACATGCCTGTGTATCATATGATCATTCAGTCTTGCATCTACCACTTTGTCATNACACACACACACACACACACACACACATGACAATATCTTTGTTGATTGAAAAAATTCCACATAATACAAGTGTATGCCAGATTTGTACAAATTATAAAAACCCACATGCCTGTGTATCATATGGTCATTCAGTCTCGCATCTACCACCTTGTCACCTTGAATTGAATCCGACCAAATTAGTATGAGCAATTTTTAAAAATGGGATTGCTAATAAGAATGTGACATTCAGAATAGGAGATGTGATTAAACTTATAGGTTGGAAGTGAAGGTGACTGGAAACTTAAATGTAATATTATTATTGCTGCAAAAGATCAGTACATCACTACCAGAGCTCTTGTCATTAAAGTCATGAAACTGTTATGCATGTGAGGAAATTACAGTTCTAAGTGACAGCAGTTTGGACATTAGCAGAGATGGAAACAGTGGACCTAGTGAGCAGGTTGCTGGGTTATATTCAATATCTGTGGTAGCTCCAGTAGATACACATAGTAACACAGATCATTAGTGTTCCAAATATTTTGGTTGTATAAAAGTGGTGCTATACAAAATTCAGAGTTATTTTCCATGTGCCATGAGTAATGGGTGGGGGGACACGTGATGGTATAGTTGTTTGAGGCACTATGCCACAAGCCGGAAGGTCATGGGTTTGACTCCTGGTGAGTTCATTGAATTTTTTTCAATTTAAGAGACTGTATAGAGTAGTCAGTATAGCGACTGGTTTGGACTGTATGACTGAGGGGTCAGAGTTCAAGTCCAGGTAGGGTCAAGAATTTTCTCCACGTCATCCAGACTGGCTCTGGTCTCCATCCAATCCAATGGGTACTGGGGGTTCTTTCCCCAGGGGTAAAGCGGCAGGTGAGTGAAGCTGATGACTCACCTCCAGCTAGTGCCGAGGTCAAGGAAATGTTGATCTGTATATCCACTCCCCTATATGCCTTCATGGCTCAGTGCTTAATTAGTTAAGTATAGGGACAACGTTTTATGAGTAATGGGAAAATGCAACACATGTAAAAGCAGATTACTTCTGAACTTGTCCCCCCCACTACTTTTCCCTGCATTCACCAACATGCCGGCCAGACGCCAGGAACAATAAATACCACTGTATCTTTGAGATGGGGAGTGAGACAGGAAGCAAATTAAGGACAATAAGATGGGTGGCACATGCAGCATACATGGGAGGGAAGCAATAAAATAAGTACAATACAGAATTTCTGTTGGAAAATATGAAGCAAAGAGAGACTTGGGAGACATGTATGGATGGAGGGATAATATTAAAATGGATCTTAAATAAAATAAGGGATGAGAATATGGACTGAATTCATCTGGTACAGGGTGGAAACCAGTGGGAGGCTCTTGTGAATGTGCAATTGAACTTGTGGGTTCCCATAAAAGGCACCTCCACTCCCCCATATAACTTTCTGGAATATTGCTTAATTAAGCACATGGACAGCTTTACCATCACCTTGCCTCTAATTTAAAATTGTGGTATCCATTATCAGATATACATTCATGAAGGATGTATGAGGTAAGAGCCTATCCTATATTAATGTCAGCCTTTACACGTTGCACTCCACTTTCACAGTGTAGTCAGTATAGCGACTGGCTACAAGCTGAACGGCACGGGTCGGATTTCAAGTCCTGATGGGGCCAAGAATTTTCTCCATGTCATCCACCCAACCTTTGACCAGGGGCTATTTCCCTGGGGCTAAAGCAACTGGTGCATGAAACTGACCGCTCACCACCAGCTAGTGCAGAGTTCAAGAAAATGTGGATCTACACATCCACTTCCCCATATGCCTTAATGGCATAGTGCGTAATTAGTTAAGCACAGGGACAACTTTACCTTACTCCATTTTCACAGGCTCTGACACTGAACCATTATGGTAAAACCACTTTCTTTTTATTGCTAGTAGAGTGGGACTAAGTGCCTTGTACTGCAGCCACTTCTGGCCTATTGTACCAGCCCCAGATGATAGGTGAGGGTGATTGTGGAGCAATTGGTGGAATGAAGATTTTCAGGGGAAACCGAAGTACTCGGAGAAAACCTGCCCCAGCGCCACTTTGTCCACCACAAATCCCACTTGACCAGACCTGGGATTGAACCCGGCCACATGGTGGGAAGCCAGCGACTAACTGCTTGAGCTATGGTGCGGCCATTGGTAAAATCATTATATTTGGTAGAGAGAACATGCAATTAACAGAACAGATTATGTTAGTGTAAGCTGAGATTATCAGATTTGGCTTGATTGATTTCGTTGGTCACTATTATGAGTACAGTTGAATATATTTTAAAGCTATTAACAAAGAAATCACTAAGTGTTACCAAAATAATGCATCTTCATTATTACTGAACTTTTGTTTATAGCTGAATTACAGTATACTTTGGATTATCCATGTTTATGCATAAAACGCTGTTGCTTGTTGATTATATAAATATGGAAATGTATGCAGAGCATCCAGTTTATCTGAAAACCCCCCAAGACTTAACAGAAAAAAGTGCAGTAATTATAAAATAATTTTTTTTCTTAATTTGTTTGAAATATTTTCCATTCTGAAGAATACTCAGGAATACATGCTTGAGATATGCACAAAAATGCATGTGGATCTTCCTAAAACTCTCAAGTACTAAATTTCATTAAAATCAATCCCATTCTCAGGTTACTTAATGTGTATGGTTCAACAGACTCTGTGAACTTACTAGGCGCTCCACACCATTGCAAACTGTTCTAAACAAGATGCATGGATAAGCCACAAACTGGACCTGTACACAGATAGTTGGGAGTACTGCATATACTACTTAACTATTATCAATTGTCAGAATTTTTAAAGACGCAGAATATAAAAATCAAATTATATTTTTCCTCGTCACACAAGGGATAAAAATAGTTTATACAAAACAATTATCATCTTCATACAAAGTTCTGTTACACATATTCCATCATATTATTACATAGTATTTTCACAATCTCCTAAGTGGAAGATGCTTCTAGAACACCAGTCGTTTTGGGTGAGGAGCTGCAAAGAAAAATAATATATTACAACTTATACTATACAGGTTTCAAAGTCACACTTCAGCTTTCTCTTAAACTGATCAACATCATCTGAAGATGAATGTGTATAATGGACTGTTAAAATTACTTCATAAGAAAGACTGGATCAAAAAGTCTGTTCCCTCCACAAACTCATCATATATAACAGAACATTATCATTTAACCACCAAATAATTCAATTTGACTTTGCAATTCTGACTACAATACAACCTCCATCTGCTGTTTCCAGGAGCTTCCTCTTCAGGTTAGGTTTCTCGTGTTCATTGTTCCGCTGGACGGAAGAGGGAAACGGCAACTGTGGACCTTGTGTAGGAGGTGGCTTGTTACTGCAAAAATAACATAAACTTTCAAAGCAATACACCCTTCAGTCCATTTATACAATAATATATTTCCATAAATAGATGCATATTTATTTTTTAAAATATAACATGGAATTCGCTGTACTTCCCACGTGTAGGATCCAAATAATTCTACCATAAACAGTACAGGGGAGGAGGCATTCAAATCCAAACACTAAAAACAGGTACATGAAAATCTCTTTTTAGGTTCCACTTTAAAACGTTTTCCTTCTTAATAAGCTAAAAATGTTTTCTTCAAGAAATTTTCCACTTTGTAATTTTTATTCTATTCTCCGCAGTGTCCAGACTAGCTCTGGGTCCAACCCAAACTCCTCTCCAGTGGGTACTGTGGCGTTCTTCCTGGAAGCAAAGCAGCCAAGACATGAAGATGATCACTCACCTCTATCTCGTGCCAAGGTCAGGTATCCATCCAGCTAAACGTATAGTCCCCAAATGTCTTCATGGCATTGTGGTTAATTGAGCATAAGAACACCTTGATGATACTAAATTAACTAAATATGTTGTATGTTGTGAACATCACATGAAAACGAAATCTGTGTCAGCTAGCATGCAACTGACTGTCAGAATCTGGACATCAGTGCAACTTTTAATCCATACAGATATGAATATATTTTCTCAGGTATTATTTCCCTGATATTTTTTGTTATGAAGCACCTCAAAACAAAATACCAATTCTTGAGCGCTGTTGTACTTATTCATGTATGACAAGCAAACCAATTTTCATAAATACTATTTAAAAAAATGTGACAGAATTTGTAAAAAATGACAGTAAATATTCCTTAAAGAATATGCTACATTTAGGTGAAAAGGAAGCCTGTAAAAGCACTTGAAGTGTTCATATACAGTAAGCTTATAGACCTTACATGGAAGGTATATGAAAATAAAGTGGTTGGCTAAGACATGATCTGACTGATGCTCAGAAGCCTTTTTTCTACGGAATGTAATTCAAATTAAGTTCAGAGATAGTATTACAATGCAAAACATTTTACTGTCTGTCAACCTGAAATATGGAGCTTGCAGTGCCTCATGACAATTATATCGGTTGAGTGGAGAAATAGACAGCAATCCTGCCACCAGATCAAGCAGATCATCTCCTGCTGCTGTGAATATGTGGCGTAGTGGTGTCCCAGGAAATGTTTTGAACGTGATGAAGTCTGGCAGTATTTTTACATTCTGCAATGACAATGTTCAGTTCAGTAATGCACTAGTGTAAAGGTTTCAACTGCATTATTTGTAATTTTGCATCTCTTGATCATTATTTACTGCAGATACAAGTATACTATTGACACAACTAATCAGTAACAGACACTGCATATATTATATATTTATCTCTTCAGGATTTTGGGTCCACAGCTGTGCTCACTGCAATATGAAGTAGAAAAGGACAGAGGTATTGAAGCAGAAGGAGGAAGAAATGAAGAACAATAAGAAATAAGGAGAAAGAGGTAGACAGAGAAGAGGAAGAAAGAATGGATAAAAATGAGGAAAAGGAAATGAAAAGATCAAGGTGACAGTACAGAAAAGAGAGAAAGCTGGGCATAGATGAACGAATTTGAGAATGGAAAAAGAAGAGCTCAAGAAAAAATCAGATAAAAATTACACTGTCATGTCATCTGCATTGTTCAGAAATGCATCACTTCATAAAATGTTGTCTCCTGCCTATCGACTTGGATCCAAAAGAATCATGTTACATTTTCCTTTAAACTTTATTAAATATACACCATTACAAAAAATATTTCACAAAATACTTACAGCTCCTATAAGATCTATAATTTATGTCATGTTCTGAGTGTCTTGCATCGGCCATTTCTTTAGAAAACTGGTAAGTTTCATCTGAGCTACATGTAAGAGATTTTACTGTGCTGATATGGACACATATAAAATTTACTTAAGCTGGATTCATAAACAACAAAGTAAACAGAAATCTGTTGAAGAGTTTCAGAGAAGTGTGACTGGAAGAATGGCCATGACCACCTCACCAGAGAAATTTTCATGTACCTCATGCACAAAGTACATAACAACTGCATTGATACTCTGTCTGCCATTTACATGGTCATTACAATAAAGTGCTACAATACTAACAGGCCACATCTCATCCGTAGGCGTACCAAGCACCTGAAAGATACGAGTCAACTGATCTAAGTCAGAATCCCCAGGAAAGAATGGTACTCGAAGTAGCAGTTCAGCCAGGATACAGCCAATGGCCCACATATCAATACCTGTTCCATACATACGGGCTCCAAACAATAACTCTGGTGCCCTGTAAAGGAGAAACTAATATTTGAATCTCTTTCAAATATCTGTTGTATTACTCCAATTTGTGTTTCCCTGCCAGGCACCTCGTAAGGCCTGGGAGTTATTTTATACATGTACAAATATGGGGAAGATTCTCCTAGTGCATTTTGTACTGTGTGTTTACTCCTAGGTACATAAAATGTCTACCCCATACATCCGGAAAAAAAATTCCAAACTTTTTTATGACTGAAGTATTTGGGTATATTAGAGACTGAAATAATTTTTTAATTTCCCGCAAATCACTGACCCATTCACATGCAACAGCCAGATATTATTTCCAAATAGTATGGCCAAGGAAATACGGACCACCAACAAAACTGACAGACTTATAGTATATGACATTATATATAAAACTTATTAAGATTACAGCATGTGCTGGAAGTGGTTTCTGTTGTTGTCAAGAGAATGTTCAAGCCTAGGACCAATGTCATTAGTGGACCCCCCCTCCAAAAAAAAAATTAAAATATCAAGTGCTCACTGAAGAGAGAGTGGATGAAATTGATCCTATGCTGCCTTGCACAGATCAGAATTTCACGAATCAAGCTTCCAGAAAAAACTTTGATCTGTGAATGCAATATATTTTACCAGGAATGCAGGCAAAACAGACAGATTTTTGGCAACTACTTTACTCTGGGTATAAATTGTAATATGTTATGCTGCAGGGGTGTCATTTCTGCAAGTAGTCTGAACTCTGTGGCCCAACTAGATAGGTGTAGGATGCAACTCTTCCTACTAAGTAGCTTAACAATTTGCAGGAAGCCATATGATGACTGCATTGCATACAGAAGAAAAAGAAGGGAAAATTAATATCCCTTACCTGTACCACCTTGTCACGACCTGATGAGTATAAATACGATTGGGAGAGCCATAGAACTTGGCCAAACCAAAATCTCCAATCTTGAGAACACCATTACAATTTACAAGCAGATTATTTGGTTTCAAGTCCTAATAAAGAAGATAAAAAATATTATAGATAGAAAACTCGATATATTTCACATACATAAAAACATAAAGAGGTTGACAACAGCTTAAGTGACCCAGTTTTATGTACCCTGTGTAATATCCAGTTGATATGGAGGTATTCCAAGCCCTGCAATGTCATTAACATGTATGCTTTGATATTAGCAGGTGTTAACACAATGTTATTGTCCTTAATAATCACTTCAAGATCAGTATCCATGAAGTCAAATACAAGTGATACATTAGATTTGTGCCCAAACACATCTGTAAAAAATCAAAACAAAATCAAATTTTATTTGCAAAATATGTAGATAATAATGAATATCTGAATTTTAAGACTTGGGCAAAACATTATTTAAATTAATATGTAACCTACATTTCCATTTCATTGGCTCTTATAGTTTTTCATGGAGAAAATAAACCCACCTAACAGACAAGTTAAGCATCTTAACAGGATTTGTTACTTAATCTCTGAGTTCTTACTCTATCACCATAACACAAACCAAAAGAAAGAATGCTGATGGCAATTAACACACTGTTTTAAAATATAACTGTGTGTCAATCTTTATACCCATTAAGTTAATAATATTAGGATGCTTTAACTCTTGCAATAGCTTTATCTCTCGAAGAGCGGTCCTGTTAATCCCATCCTGTGCTTCTGCTCGACTTCCAAGCTTGATCTGGAAAAGAAAAAAAAAGTACAAATGCTTGCACCGATACTCTCTTTCAAAATAATAATTATTCACACTCTGCTATATAACACCAATTATAATGCTAATGGCACAAGAAAATTTCACAAGGAAACTTGAGTACAGTAAAGACATGTAATGTAATAAAATTCTCACATACATCCCAATTGGAAAGATGGAAAAATTTTTGTCTACCCATAAACATTATGATTTATAGCACAGCACTACAGAACCCATATCTACTTCCTGCAAAATGTATGAGGATTTATTTAATATTCTATGAACGCCCACAAACATTTCGTTGTTCAGTAGAACATATCACCACAAAAAGAAATGCTCTATTTGAATACACATAAATCACAAGTGCCACAAATAATATAGAAATATTGTGCAGATCGGTGTACAGATAACCGTATACACTTGTATTCTGGTGGTGCTCTGTTCGATTCTCAACTGCGTGGCCGGCTAAACTAACTTACGTTTTTCGAGGTTTTCTTCAGTCCCTTCTACCAAATGCGGGACCAGCACCTTAATTAGACCATAGTCACTTACTTTCAAATCCTTTTCAATTCATTAATCATACCAATGACCCTCATAGTCTACATACTGACAAGGTAATAAACTGAATCAAAATGTAATACAACACAATTTACCTTTTTCACTGCAACTATAGTATCATTTACTGCATCTCTTGCTTTGTAAACAGTAGCAAACTGCAATGAGAAACAAGAAGGTCACAGTGCAAGCAGAACGGGATATTTTAAATAAATTATGGCAATACCATGCAAACCCTACAGCACATAAAAGATTTCAAGTGTTCATTTCTTAAAATGGAGACGTATTTTAAAATTGCATGGCATATCCTGTCTCAGTAAATACAGCATATATAGTTTTTTCAATAACCTGTCCTTCTCCCAAATATTCTACTTTTTCATAACGCTTTAATTTATCTCCCATCCTTAACCTTATTCCACATTCAACGCAGCCATTCGTGCCGCACGGCGATCATATGTAACCACCGGTAACCACGGTAACCACCACGGATCATTAAATAGAGTAGAAAATCTAATCATGGATCACGTAAAGAGGGCAACGAAGAACCCTTCTTGGGAAGCCACAAGTTGTGCAGCTACTTAAGGATTTCCCAGCCGTTTATGGAACCCAAAGGATCATTACCGTTTCATAAGAGCCTCCGCTGGTCCATATCCTGAGCTAGATCAATTCAGTCCATACCACCCTGTTCTATCTTTCTAAGATCCATTTTAATATTATCCACCACCTCCCTACTTCATGGTCTTCCTAGTGGCCTCTTTGCTTGTGGATTTCCAACCAACATACACATGCCCTTACTATAACGGTGGCGTTAGTTGCTCTGCGATAATAGGGTTTCTAAATTTGTGGAATATTAGTAGCCTGATATTTAGTGCTGGAAGTTAGGAGCGGGAGGAGGGTATTTTGAAGGTAGGTAGGTAGGTAGTAGGTAACCTTCTTACCGACTAGGCTACTGGTTAAACCTTGTACTTTGCCGTTGCATTCACTTGCAAATGATTCATAGGTGACACTAGCCTGCACCTAGAGTTAGGTTACCAACAGGGAGAATCGGAATTACATATCTGTAGATATAACATGCATTTTTGTGTGAGTGACGGTTATTGAAAGGCTTGAAAGGACGAGAGGAAAGTCATTTTAAGTATGTCTGTATTTAAGGTAAAAGCTGTGTTATCGCCATGCAGGAGGTTTGCTTTACAAGGAGGTAATGCTGTATATAGGTAAAAGTGGTACAAAGTATGCTTGTAGATAATGCGTTACTTAATTAGAACAGTTTGATCATGTTAGGAGCAAGACACCTGAAGTGAATTTAAATACAAGTGACTCTGGGACATCAGGTTTATACGCTCTGACAGTGCAGAACGTACAAAATCAATTGACACTGCAGTCGGCGGAGGCCGAAATCCAATGTTTCATGTGACTTTTCGTCAAGGGAGTGAAGCCCGAAACATGCTCCCATATAATTACATTTTGTGACGTAGCCAACCGTGGTCGGTGATGGTGCAGCGAAATCATGGAAAGATAAAAGTGGAAACGTGATGCATGATGCCTCCGCAAGCTGCAGTTTTATCATAATATGAAGTAACATGTGACGATCTTTTATTATGAGTTGGTCAAATATGGCAACACTGAACGTGAGAAACTGATGTATGGAATATTTCTAACTCGGTGTAACAAATTTTCCATTAGCATTTGCAGTTCTTAGTGCAGTAAACATGCATAAGTAACATGACTGACCTGACCTAACCAGGACAGAACACTATGTGAAATAAAGACCATCCCGGAATGTAAGATGGTAAAGATCTGACCTTTCCATAAAAAGCAGTGGAAAGACCAGTTTTTAATCACTGTTGTTATTAAATTATTTAAAAATATGCTGTTGTAACCAAGAAATATGAGGGTGAGTCAAATGAAAATCTTAGAAGTTTGAAAAATTGAAGGAAATTAAGGACAACTGTCATATTAAGGTGAATGAGGTGGTTGCCATGTTGGACATCAGTCATGGTTCAACTCACCATGTCGTCCACAACATGTTGTAGTTCCACAAGGTGAGTCCCTAGACAGGTGACTCCTGAAATGAAGGGAGGACATGTTGATGCCTGACAGGAACTTTTGTGATGGTGCAATAGAATGTGATGGCTTCTTGAAGCATATAGTGAGTGGAGATGAAAACCAGGTCCACTACTAGCAGCCTGGAATGAAGAGAACAAGCAACAAATGCCTCCATTCCAGCTCACCAAAATGCTGCTATTCTGCGAAGACCAAGGCCCACTTGTGGAGCACTGCGTGTTCAAAAGAACCACAGTCACCAGTGCCTTATATTGCAGACTCCTTAAAAATCATCTGAAATGAGAACATCCAATCAGAACATAATGGGCTGCTCAGTGCTGATGTCATTGCTGTATGACAACACTAGGCCACACACGGATGTTCTTGATGTAAAAACTTTCCAATCCGATGAAGAAATACAAGAGGCGATGGAAGAGTGGCTATGTATACAGCCATAGGATGGTTTATCATGAGGAGTCCAGGTATTAATGATGTACTGGATGACATGCATCGAATGCAGTGAAAACTGTATTGAGAAATGACAAGCTATACTGAATATATTTGCTCTAAATTAGCTGGCAAAACAATTTTAAGGCTTTCATTTGACTCACCCACATATGATCTGCATTTATAGAAATGGCCCCTGTGCCTAAGGACATGTACTGAAAGTAAAGTTCCACATATGCTAGATGTCAGTGAGTGGCCAGCTTCATCCTCCAGCACTTTACCCCACTGGAAATAGCCTCAAGTACCAAATCAGGTGGAACCACAACTGGTCTGAATGTGCTCTGTGATTTTAGTCCGCAAGTGAACTATACTGACCGAGCAACCACCGCTTGTCAGCGAAGTTAGTGACAACTTTTGTGGATAGAGGGTATCGCATGGTCAGCACAATGAATCACCATGGCCATTAATTTCGGTTTTCTAGACCAGAGCCGTTATTTCCTTGAAATAGCTCTTCAATTATCATCATGAGGCTGATTGGATCCTGTTCCAAACCCACTACTTGTTAGAAAAAATCTGATAGCACTGGGAATCAAACCTGCACCTCTGGATCTGTGGCCAGGGACTCTGACCACAAGACCACAGAGGCGGTGGTCTGGATGTGCTGCCAAAAAGAAAATTCCTGCCTCTGCAAAAATTCTTGCCCCAGTCATTCTACTCACTGAGCTGTCCTAGCGTATTTTGGTTTTAAGTATTGAGTGGAGCACAGCGTTTTGCCCTAAGGAAAAGGGAGAGAGGGAGAGACCATAAGTTACTGTAATCATCATGGTCCTCCTGTACAAGGATTAATTGTACTAGATTACTATGACTCCAAGATTCAGGTCAGAGTTGAATCTCCATCTTTTGTGTGGTCTGCTTCTTGTACCTTTTGGAATGCACTGATGCATTTTTAGGACCATATGTTGCCATAATGTTCTTATAATTTTATGACAGTTTAATGGAGCAGGATTGAGAGCATCATTTGAAGAGGTTACTGTAGTGATTCTGACACAATTGGCACAAATTACATTCAAGACTTATACTACATACTGCTGTCAGTCTGTAACTGTACAGTGGGCTGTATAGTCATACTGAATTATTATTTATAACAGTGTCCATAGAGGGCAAGTGGTAGCATAGTTAGTTGAGGTACTGTGCTACAAACTGGAAAGTTAACAGGTTTAATTCATGATGCGTTCATTGGCTTTTTCTAGAAAAAATGTAGGAGCCTTGACGCTGTGGGCATCCATAGCCTGTTACAAGGGGTTTTTTTCCTTTTTTTGCCTCTTATTAGATGATTCTGACTTTTCTGACTTCTAGGTGTGTGTTCAAAGTAAATCATTTCCCAGAAATTAATTTGCAGTGTTTGAAAAGAGCTTTTGACTGAGTACATTACCAACATCTTCTGTTTTAAAACTGTCATGTTTTGGACCAGAAGCAGTGGCTTCACTGTTGGGGGTCTTTGTTCTGTAATCCCAGTCTGTGATGTCCCAAGGCTCTTGTGCTGGGTGAGAGGGTGTCCTGTTTGGTACAGTTAATGTGAACACAGGAAGTGGTCAGTGCTGGTTTTTGTAATATATGGTATTTGTCCCTGAAAAGTACACAAACTATACAACTTCATGTGCTCACCATGTTAGTAGTTTCTGACATACAGAAGGAATATATCATGTAAAATGTTCTGAAGAGCCCCTGTCATGTCATTTTTTTTTTAAATTTCTAGAGGGGTGGGACTAAGTTCCTTGTACTGCAGCCACTTCTGGCCTATTGTACCAGCCCAAGATGATAGGTGGGGGTGACTTTGGAGCAATTGGTGGAATGAAGATGGCAAGGGAAACCGAAGTACTTGGAGAAACCTGCTCCAGCGCCACTTTGTCCACCACAAATCCCACTTGACCAGACCTGGGATCAAACCCAGGCCGCCATGGTGGGAAGCCAGCGACTAACCGCTTGAGCTATGGTGCAGCCCTGTCATGTCATAACTGAAAACATTGTAATGGTTACTCTTGTAGTTTAGGCAGTCTGTTGTTAAGAATTAACAGATGAATTAACAAAGAGTAATGAATTTGTTCTCATTTGCATTTATTGGTGTTTCTTTATTAGTCACTCTGGTGCACCGTTCATCTTCACAGTCAAGCAAAAGTGAAGGTGCATGTTCAAAAACAGAAAGACTGCAGAAGAAGCTTCGAGAGAAAACACCGATAGGTATGGTGACATTTTGATATCATGGAAGGATGGGTTATTAACAGAGTTGGGTAAAAATATGAGTAAACTGGATGGAATATGGACAGTTAAGAAACTACAGGTATTTCCGAGGTGCATAATGCTTGAGAAGCTAATGTGGTCACTTAGCTAGTCAAGGAATGACCCATCTCTTATGGAACCCAAAAGTTTATTACCATGTTCATGAGGCTGCCACTGGTCTGTCCTGAGCCAGATGCATGTAATCCACACTTCCACATCCTGTTTCTGTAAGATCTATCCTCCTTCCATCTTTGCTAGGTTGCCAAAGTGGGCTCTTCCATTAAAGTTTTTTGAATTCCTATTATGAAAGTGACAAACTTTTATGAATGCTTGTGCTTTCATCATGTTAACTAGGTCCTTTGTCACCACAGGATGGTGCAGTCACAGATTTAAGTTGAGATGATCTCCAGAAAGGGAGAGTATTTGCAAACATACGTCACAATATTGAATAAGTAGTTGCAGACAGCAAATAAGGGGTGCTCCTCCAACTCTGGTCAGGCAGGGAACTAACAGTTCCTCACTGCAAAAGAACAGTATATTACAAATTGTTACATGGACTTGGATGGATTCTTTGCAGTTATCTAAGCAGTGGAAAATGGATGTGAGGGATGGAACTTGGAATTTCAAAAGTCACTATAGATCCTGGACTGGTCTCAGAAGAGTGACCTCTCTGTCCAGTATCTACCTG